GCGTAGCCCCCTGCTGCTCAGCCGCGAGCTTCCACGGGCCACGTGCTAGGCTGTCTCCCTCCCCCCGGGGACGGGGCCAGGCTCCACACACCCTGCCAGCTCCTCCGGCCGGCCCTGGCTGCGTCAGGTGTCTCCTCGGGACAGGGGACCCCAGTCCGTGGTCGTGTCCCCCCAGGCCCCCACGGCTGCCTTTTCCCACGCGAAAGAAATTGCTAGAACACTGGTCAGGAAAGCCGGGTTCCCGTTCCAGCTCTGTAGCCGGTGACCAGCCCCCCTCCCAGCCTCTGGTTACCCACAGTACACTGGGAGTGAGGGTCTGGCCATGAGGAGTGAGGGCTGGGAAGGACCCTGGCCTGTCTGAGGGCCGCCTGGCTGGCCGCTGGGCCCAGACCTTAAGTGGCCTCAGCCCTTTGCCATCTTCCGGGCCCGGTCCCCCTCCAGGGCGGCACTTGCAGCCTCCTGTGGCCTGGCCGAGCCCCTGGCTCCCACCAGCACCAGGTGTCACTACCTTCTGTGCCGACTTCCAGGACTCGGGCTGTGGGCCTGGGAGACCCCTGCCGGCTGGCCCCAGACGCCGGCCCCAGCATCCGCTCTGTGCAGCAGGTGCACTGTGTGGGAACCTCTGGTGCCCCGCCCCTCCGCTCTGCCTCTTGGGACCTCCAGCCTGTGCCTCAGTCTGCTGGCCAGGCTTGGTTTCCCCCGGACCCCGTGCTGCCCCACGTCAGGGCTGCGTCCCGGCTGTCCAGGGCCTGGGTGCTGCCTGCAGTGTGCAGTTGCCAGCTGGGGGGAGACCGGTGTCCCCAGCCCTCTGTCACTCCCTTGCAGTGTGGAACTGTGGCTGCCAGGGTCCCGTGCTGCCTGGTCTGAATGTGGGGTTCACCGTGGCTTGCTGGGGGAGCCCCGACACATGCCGGGGAGACGCCTGGCCGTGCGTGCCCAGCAGGGTCCTGGTGCGCAGCCTCCAGCTTCCCTGGGGCTGTGTGGGCCCCCCCCCCCCAGCCTCACTGCCCTCCAGCACGGGCGGCTGTGGGGCCTGGGCCACCCCTGCCCGCCTGCCTCATGTTTTCCTCTGGCCCTCTGGTTCCGGGTCAGCAGCTGAGCCATCTGCTAAGGCCTCCCCCGCCCGGCGGCGAGCGCTGGCCTGGCCCAGCCCTGCTCATCAGCCGTGCCGGCCCTGGAGTGTGCGCGCTTGGCAGCCTAGGGGGTGGGGGTGTTCTTAGCTGAACAAGCAGGCCACCCCGCGGTGGACAAAGACCCCTCCCTGTGGTCTCCTGGCCCCCTGCCCGCCCCGCCCCCAGGGCCGATTGCTTCACGCGAGTGAGCTCGGAACACGCCAAAGGCAAATATAATAATGAATTTATTATGAAGCCGCTCAGGCTCCGGGGATCACGTGGTGCCGCGCCGCTGCCGCAGAGCTGCGGGCGGGGTGACCCGGCCTTGTGGGGGCGCAGGGGCTCGCCCTCGGGGGCCCGAGCCAGGGGGCGTCCTGTATTTGTTCACAAACATCTCTTTCTGCGGTAATGAAAAATTACCAGGAGCGGTGATTAGAGAACCCAGGTCCAGGTTGTGCCGTGGGCCTGAGCGGGGAGCCCTGCTGGGCCCCGGCGCTCGGGGTGTAATTACCCCAGGGTGGGGGGGGCGGGGGGAGCGGATTGGTGCTTGAACCGGGACCCAGCAGAAAATTCATCTCAGCTATTAGCTTGTAATTACAGAGCGAGGAGGGAGGGGCCTGAGGGCCGGACGGGAAGAGCTGGGATGAAAGGAAGCAGTAATTATGGGACCAGCAGGAGGCTGGGAGGCGGCGGCTGCCGGCTAGTGCGGGAGGGGTGGGAGCGGATGCCGTATTTAATGGAGTACTGGGGCCTGCCCCTGCGTGAAAATCCTGCTGCTGGGGGCAGCGGGTGTCCCTGTGAGCGGGCCCTTCCCTGCCTCCCGGCGGTTTCCCTGGTTTTCCAAAGCGTCGTGCGCCCGCGGGAAGTCCAGGCAGAGTCGGGGGAACCGGTGCGTGGTGGGCGGGGCCTCGCTGCCCTCTGCCCTGTGGCCCTGTGCCAGCCTCTCCTCTGCCCTCTGCCTCCCGGCTCTGCCAGCCCTGGGAGGGTCTGGGGGCTGCGCACTGCCAGGGGCTGGGAGGGATGTAAATGAGGCGGGGAAGCCCTGGGCAGATCTGGGCCAGCGAGACCCCCTGCTCGGTCTCCTGCTGAGCTGCACATGTCAGGGGAGCCCCCCCCATCCATCATAGGCCTTCATGCCGGGAGCTCTTCCCAGCTGTTGGGATAATGAATTTACATGAGCTGATAATGTAGACAAGAATTCCGTCAATGGCCAGGAGCGCAGAAGTTAATAAATACCTCTCTAATGAGGGCGGGGGGAGGCGCCCCCCTGCACTCCGCCACCCCGGGGCCTCCGCGGACACGGGCACCTGCCCCAGCAGCAGCCGGAGAGCCCCTGCGTGGGCGGGTGCTGCAGGGGACCAAGCCGACCCAGCTGGCCGGCCTGCGCCTGGGCCCTCTCCCCTGCCCTCGGATGCGGGCTTGGGAGGAGAGTGCTAATTTTAGCCTGCCTTAATGAAGCCGCACGCTGGGCTTCTATTTCCAGCGGCCTGACATCAGCAGTGCAGTCCTGGAGCCACGGCTGACACCGCGGCGGGGACGCCGGGCGGGGGTCCCCGGGGACCCCGAGGGCCGGACCTGGGGTGGGGGTGCCGGCAGGAGGGGTGATGACCTTGAGGCCTCCGGGCTGCTGGGGGGAGGGGCCGGGTTTGGGCTCCGGCGGGGGGCACCCCAGTCCTCAGGGGCCTGCTCACCCGCAGGTGCCGGTGTGGTGCAGCCAGGCCCACCGTGGGCAGTCGGACGGCCCGGGTCACAGAAGGGTGACACCGGCTGCCGAGTGCGCCGGGGGCTTTGTGCCGAGCCTGCCCTTCCCCACGGTAGCACCCAGGGGTGACTGCAGCGTAACGGTTAGGAGTGGCGGTGTTTCGTTCCAGCCCCCTGCTAACGCGCCTGGGCCGTGGCTCAGGTAGGCTGGGTGTCGGCTCCCAGCCTCAGCCCTGCCCACCCTGGCGAGGGAGGACGTCGGGGGTGCACGGCAGTGGGAGCGCTCTGCTCTCTGTCTTTGGAACCGTTGGAAAGTCCATAAGGCCAGTGGGCGGGCCCAGGGCCGTGGAGAAGGGGAGCTGGCAGAGGTGCGGCGTGGCTGGTGTGGGCCCGTCACGCCGAGGGCCCCCGTCACAACAGGGTTGAAGCCGTGGCCTTGACGAACGCACACGTGGCATGACGAGCCGGCCCCTACCCAGGCTGCTGCCTCGGGACGGGGGTCCTGCATCCCGCGTCCTGCGTGAGCCGCCTTCTGGCGCGTGTTCCAGCCAGGGGTCTCGGGATGAGTGACGGGCTTCGTGTGCAGATGTGTGTTTGAGAGCGTATACGCGTGTGGACCGGCGCCTTTCCATGCGGTCCCACAGGCGGCCACTGGGGTGGGGGTGGGGGGTCCTGAGCAGCTGTAGGCCCGGGGAGCAGGGCTTGGGTGACCTTGGGGCCGCCTTCTCACCTCCTGGCCTCGGTTTCCAAACCCATGCTCCACGGGCCTCCCAGGGGTGTGGGCATGGGAGGTGGGGGGTCCATCTTGTGTCCACCTGTCCACCTGCCTGATCTCTGGGGCCTGCGGAGACGGCCGGGAGGGGGTTCTTGCTGCGTCAGGCCCCTCCTTGCCCTCCTGCTTGTCCGGGCTGCCCGGCTGAGCCCCAGGACCCCGTTCACTGTGGTCGGGGTCGGTCCGTGAGGCCCAGGCTCCGACCTGGGCGGCTCCGTGTTTCCATGCAGGCCCCCCAGAAGCCCCCCGCGGCCCGGTGTGGCTGGGGGTCTTGGGGTCACCTGTGTGCGGTCGCACTTTCTGTGTCCCCACGGCCTGTGGGTGAGCCCTCACGGACCACGGCCAGCTGGGGCGCCCACCCAGCCTGGGCCCTGGGGCCACCGTGAGCCCTGCCCTGCAGGCGTGGTCCGCTGGAGCCCTGGTGGACTGTGCTTCGTGCCCAGCTTCCTGACGAGGCCGCAGAGCCGGCGCCCTGGCGGGGTCGTGCGCGCTGCACTGGGCTGCCCCTGCCCGGAGCCACCCTCCACATCTTGCACAGCCTCACGGCAGCGGGTGCCGCGGCCCGCAGGCAGTGTGAGCTGTGTGGGTCCTGGCCCTGCCACACCTCTGTGCTTTAGAGACAGCCAAGGTGGACACGCGAGGCCAGCCCCCTGCCCAGCGCCGTGTGACCCTCAGCAGCTGCAGGCCAGCTTGCCCGCCGGGAGGGCGGCTCTTGTGGGGTCTTGTGCCTCGGTACAGCCCCTCCCCCCAGAACCCGCGTGTTCCCGCCTTCCCCCCTTGACTCTGCCAGCTCCCAGCCCAACCTGACTGCGTGTGCGGTGCACGCCCGGGGCTCGCGGCCTCTGCTGGTCCCCTGTGGGTTCCCTGTCTTCTCCTGGCCCCAGCCCCAGCTCTGTTCACCCCCCCCCCCAGCCCTGCAGCCCCTTGGCCCTGATGGGTGCCCCTTGGACGCAGCTGTGCGTGGCCGTGGTCACGTGGGAGCCTTGGTTTTCTTTTTTGTGATGTGTGGACGGCAGCGGTGCGGCCGTGCCAGCTGCTGCAGGGGTGCGGATCCCCATTCTGGTGTTGCCTCGCCCGGGCCTGCGGTCCCCCAGACTCTGACCCTCGCGTCGCTGGCTTCCCCGGATCGTGCTGGGGTTGGGCCGACGCCGCGCCGTGCGCCAGGGTCCCTGGGCCGGCCTGGTGTTGCCTCGCCCGGGCCTGCAGTCCCCCAGACTCTGACCCTCGTGTCTCTGGCTTCCCCGGATCGTGCTGGGGTCGGGCTGACGCCGCGCCGTGCGCCGGGGCCCCCGGGCCGGCCGCTCTGTCTGCAGCGCTGCCTCTGCTCTGTCGCCCCCCCCCCCCCGCATGCGGCCCCCGCTCTGGTGCTGGGCGCTCCTGCTCTCGGTGACTTGGTTCTTCTTTTCCTGTTGCAGGCATGAGCCATGAGCCCAAGTCTCCTTCGCTAGGGATGCTTTCCACCGCGACCAGGACCACCGCCACCGTCAGCCCCCTCACGCCCTCGCCGCTCAATGGCGCCCTGGTGCCCAGTGGCAGCCCCGCCGCCAGCAGTGCGCTGCCGGCCCAGGCCGCGCCATCCTCCAGCTTTGCCGCCGCGCTGCGCAAGCTCGCCAAGCAGGCCGAGGAGCCCAGAGGTAAGAGGCGCGCGCGGCCCTGCGCGGCCCCGCGGGGCGGAGCCACGGCGACCATGGAAGCCGCAGGCCTCCCCGTGTCTGGGCTCCACCCCCCCACACACACCCCCCTGCTTCGCTTCTCTGCTTGGCTTTCTACCGCTCTGCCCTCCCTCGGCTACGGGAGCTGTGGCGAGGGCCGTCCGGTCGTGGGGAGCCCGGGGCTGCTGGCAGGCAGAGTGGACAGTGAGAGAGAGAGAGGCCCGGAGCGGCCTGAGGCTGAGTGTGTGCGCCTGTCCCCAGCAGCCAGGCAGACAACCCCGTGTCTGCACACGTGCTCGGCCGCAGGACAGGTGGCCCGGGGTCTGTGCGGGGTGGCTGCAGACGGGTGCGGCCCTCTCCGACCGCCCTTTTGCGCCCGAGCTTCAGGGCGCCTGCCGGGACCCCCGCGCGTGGGTGGCTGGGTCGGACCTGCTGGGCTGCAGCTCGGGCCCACGTGGGTCGTGGCCAGGCCTCTCCCCTGTGGGTGAGCTGCTCCAGGGCCCGGCCCTGCGGGAACTGTACGGGGCTCACGGCCGAGGACGGCGTTCGTACCCTCGGGCCTGCGGCTCAGCCGATGGCTGCTGGCCCTGACCCCGTGGGCTGGGGGTCTCTGGGTCTCTCGGTCTCTCCTCTTGCCAGGTCCTTTGTTCCGCCTGGTGGCTGGGGTGGGTGACAGGTGGAGAGGAGCGGGCCTGGTGTTGATGTGTGCTGGGATTTGCTGGCCTGGGAGGAGAGATGCTGGGCCCTTGTGGCCACGGGCACAGACAGGGCCGCCCACACGCCCTGCAGGTCTCTGCTTGCCCTTCCCGCCACAGCCAGAGCCCCAGGTCACATCTGAGCACACACAGCCGCGCCAGCACCCTGGGCTCCGGGGCCGGGAGCAGGTGCCTGTGTGGGAGCTGAGCTGGGAGCCCCGCCTGTGAGAGGCAAAGGCATGGGGGCCGGTGGGGGCGGCGCTCTGTGTCTCCTCTGCTGTTCCGGAAGCGGGGAGAGACGGCGCTGGCACCGGCTCTCAGATCAGTCGGCACAGGGGAGCGCGTGTCCTGGCCACCCAGGGAGGCGGCGGCGCGGGGTCTCGGGATGGGCCGGGTCCCACCCGCCGAGGTCTGCGGTGCTGGGGCCTGGAGGGCAGCGGGGCTGGGGCCTGCCTGGCCTCTGTCTTCCTGCGCTGACCCAGGCAGCCCGGCGTCCGGCTTGGGCACCAGGCCTCGCGGGCCAGGGACAGAGTGCGCTGCTGGACTCCAGTGGCGGTGGCCACGGGGCCCGGAGCCTGCCCGTGACTCCTGCCCAGTGTGCGGACTCAGTGGCCAAGGGTCGGGGAGGCCCACCCCGGGGTTGTCCCCTTACTCGCGGAGGCTGAGGTCTGCAGGGCTGGAGATCCGGGACACAGCAGCGCCTAGGCCCCGAGCAGCCTCACGCTGCCACGCGTGTCCAAGCAGGCCTGGGTCCTCGCCTCGGGGAAGAGAACCGTGGGCGCCCGAGGCCCCCGCCCCCATGCGAGTGTCCAGCAGGGCCGCTGCAGTGGGGCCCCGCCCCCCCCCCACTCCACCTCCACCGTTGACTGACAGCACCCAGTGGGTCCATTGTACAGATGGAGAAGCTGAGGCGCGGGTCCCGGCTGCACTGCTCAGGCCTCTCCTAGCAGGCAGGACCGTCTGAGCCCCCTCCCCAGCAGCCGCCGCCGGCTCTGCTTCTAGAATGTTCTCACCCCTAAGACAGGCCGTGACCCCCGCGCCTATCTCTGTGGATTTGCTGTCTGGGTGTTTCCTGCGTGGACGTGTGTGGCTTCCTTCCCTGTGGGGGCAGCCCGCCCACCGGCTCTAGGAGGCTGTGCCACGGCGGCCGGCGAAGGTTGCGTCCTGCTTGTGGCCTGCCAAGGACGCTGTTGCGGTCCCTGTGGCCGTGGGCGGGAGGAGGGAGTCCACACTGCTGCTGGGCGACCTCTCCGGCCTGTCCGTCCGCCTCCTGCAGCGGCTCACGGGGAGGTGTGCGGGGCGGGGCCCAGGTCGCGGCCTGGCTCCGGGTCTCAGGGCACCACGCCCCGCCCCTCCGTCTCCACACTGAACCAGGCCTCAGGCCTGCCCCTCCTGGCCCCCCTCCCCCACGCCCGCGGGTCCCTGGGAGCCTGGTGTTTTTAGCCATCTGACCTGTGTCCACTGTGTCCCCGGGGTGCACAGGGCTGCCCCTGGGCCCTGTGTGGCTTCCCGCCCGCCGGCTCATCTGGGGCGCGGGGCCGCCGTCTGTTCTGAAAGCCAGAGTCCCCATTAACTTAACTCTCAAGGCCTCGGCCGCCCGGGGCGGCTCAGCTGTGTTCCTCGCTGTGTGGCCTGGGCAGGGCCCACCCAGGGGCGTGGTGATTCAGGGGGAACAGGCACCAGGCACAAGGGTGCACGGGGATTGTGGGGTCCCCAGCACTATCGCCGCTGCCACCCTGTCCCTCCCCGTCCTGCGGGTGCGGAAGCTCCACCCCAGCAGCCCCGCCCCCTCCCGCAGGGCATTGCTGGGGGGCTGGCCCCGCTGTCCGCCCCACTCAGGGCTGTCGGGGAGTGCGGGCGGGCCCAGTGGGTGCTCGTTCACCTTGGGGGAATGTTCTGGAAGCCGCCTCTGGCTGCAGGTTGGGTCTGACCCTCAGCTGGTTCTGGGTTCAGCCCTGACCCCTTCCTTGGTGACCAGCCAGGGCTCTGCTTTGAGCTGAGGCATCGCCGTATCGTCTGGCCTCCGCCACTGCCATGGGCGGCCGGAGCCCCGGCTGTTGCCGGCCCAGGAGAGGCGCGGGAGCTGCCCTCGTCCCCCGCGGTGGGAGCGGCCAGGCCGCCGCAGCCTCCTGTGGATGGCCAGAGGTCCCGGCATCCTGGCTGCCTGCCCCGTCTTGTCGCTGGCTTTGCACAGGTGGGGGGGCTCGGGGACGGGCGGGTCCCTGGTGTCGGCGCTGCCGCGAGCTGCCGCCCACCGCCCGCCCGCCTGTCTGTCGCGGCGCGGGCTCTGCGCTGCCTCGGAAATCTGCCGCCTTCAAAGAAAACAGCAACGCAAACACGGGCGGGGAGCTCCGGCCTGGCACGCGCCCCGCGCACGTCAGGCTGCGGCTGGCAGGGCGGGGGGCGGCTCCGCGGGTGTCTGGGGCCCCATCTGTCTCGCGGCACAGGTGCAGGCTCGCGGGGCTTCTCCCATCCCCATCTTCCTGGGGTGCGGGAGGGCAGGGGAGGCTGGGGCTGGGCCCCTGCGGAGCGCTGTGGGCGAGCCCCCTCCCCGGGCTGATGGCGCAAGGTGTGGCTGTTGCTGCGAGGGTCCTCTGTGTCCCCGCGGCCTGGGACAGATGGAGCACGGGACAGCCCCTGGCCCAGAGCCCCCTTCCCTTTGGAGCCAGGAGTAGGGGCCGCCTGGGGGCGTCGGCGCAGCCGCGAGTGGCATATGGCTGCCTGCACGGCTCTTCCGAGCGGGTTCTCCCGGGCCCTGCAGGTGGGGGCAGACGCCAGCTTTGCCCGCCGTCCCCACTGTCCCTGCCATGTTCCCACCCACCCTGTGCCCGTGCAGTGGGGGCTTCACACTGCTGTCCCCTGCAGGCTCCCTGCCCCGTCCTCATCGCCCAAGTCTGCAGGGGTCGCAGGTGCGTGGGGAGGGGGTGCCCCCAGCACAGTGTCCCCCCCCAGTCCAGTTGTGGGGGCCCTCAGCTTTGGCGCTTGCCTGCAGCTCATGGTGGAGGCGCTGCTGTCGTACTGAGCAGGGGATAACACGGACCCAGCAGGAAGCGGCCCCAGGTGGGCAGGCGCCTGCAGGTGGCCCGGGGATGGGCACCTGTTGGTGGCTCGAAGCCTGCTCCCACCGCCCCAGCTGTGTCTGGGCCTGGGGCTCTGGGCGGCCCTGGTGATAGGAATGGGCATCTCTCAAAGGCTTGGCCAGGGTCTGGGGCGCGGTGTCCTGTCGCCGCCGCTCCCCCGTGCAGGGCCCTGGCGGCGGTGAAACCCCCGTCCTGCCTTCCTCTGTGCTGTCAGCTGGCCAAGGCCTGTGGCTCTGGGGCCTGACCGTGGCGAGGCTCTGCCGGGGGTGGGGGTGGGGGGGTTCGCAGCCTGGCCCCGGGCGCTGGGTCAGGGCCCGCGCTGGTGGTGTTCTGCCCTCGGCTGCCAGGGCTGACAGGTGCCGCGCCTCTGCCGCCCGCGGCCGTCCTTGCGCTCCCAGCTGGCTGTTAATTACACGTGTGCGCCTCCAGCTCCGGCGCCGAGCCGCAGGGTCGGGCAGCAGAGGTGACGCGAACGTGCGTGCCTCTTGTCGCCTCCAATCTGGCCCCGTCTCGCTGACGAGCTCCTGGCTGAATACCGCCGGTTAATTACGGTGATCACGGCCCTTCCCGCTCCAGCCGTGTGGCGAGAAGGGAGGGCTGGGGCGGGCGCCCGCCCCGCTAATTGGCAGTGTGTTGTCGGGTATTGATCCCTGCCGCTCCGGCTGCGGGGGAAGCGGCCTCCTGCCTCGGGGGGGATTAGGCCGCTAATTGTCGGATGGCCTCTGCCCCGCCTGGCCCCAGCTGAGACCTCCCGCAGCCCCTCCGCCGCGCCCCCGGCGCCCATGTGTGCGTGTGTGTGCGTGAGGCTGCTTCCGAGAGGGGCACGGTGGGGAGGGGGCACCACAGCCATGCAGCCCGGCTCTGCACCACCCTTGGGCTGTGGGGACCGCTTGTTTGCAGGCTTGGGGTGCAGGGGCGTCCACCCCAGGACCGCTGGCGGCGTACTGGCCCTCGGCGTGTGCGTTTAATTCCGTTCCCCAGCTGCAGAGTGTGGCTGCCCAGGCCGTGCGTCTAGGCGGGGCTGCCCCGGGCACGCCTAGGGTCCGTGGCAGGTGCGGGCCTGAGGCCGAGCTACAGTGGCTTTGAGGAGGGGGGAGGCCTGGCACCGCGCACAGCAGCCGTGAGCTGGACACGGCCCGATGCGTGGTTCACTGTCCTGGGCCGTTGGAACATCGCGGCCCAGCTGGTGGGGGGGCGGGGATGGCTGCAAGTGGGTGTGGGGCCCGATGAAGACCCAGACAGTGGCCGGGTCTCCATGTTCAAGTGGACAGGGCCCTGGGCGCCACGCGGGCTGCCCACGGTCACGCTGGTCGTGTGTGGCCCTGGGCTCCAGGGAGGCCGGAGCTGCTGACAGCCCCCCCGCTTTGCCTGGATCTTCTGGGGTGAGGGGTCCCGCCTCAGGCTCCAGGGCTGGCAGCGGTGTCAGGCGCCAGCCGGCTCGCCCCCAGGGCCGCTGCAGAAGCCCGGGGTCTGTCCCTGAAGCTGCCCCCCCCCGCCCGCCCGCCCCTCCAAACCCCCAGGGCTTTTCCCCGGGATGCACTCAGCTGCCCTCGGGCTCCCCAGGGCCTGAAGGCCGCCCGGGCTCTGGGGCAGAGCCAGGCTGTGCCAGCATCGGGGGACAGGGTTAGCAGGGCTGTGTCGGGGGCTTTGTCGGCGCAGGGTGCAGTGCGGACAGGACAGGTGCCCGCGGGAGTACCGTCCTGGACAGTCGCACGGTCTGTGCACTGTCCCGGGGACCGCAGCCCCGAGGCCGGGCAGCAAGTGCAGGAAGCGGCAAGCCTGAGCCGAGGGGCGAGGCTCATGTAGCCCCACAGAGCTGCTCCCTTTGGAGCCCCGTCCCACCGTCGGGGTGCCCTGGGGGCTTCTGCCGAGGGTCTGGTTTCCCGGGAGCCCCGCCCCAGCGCTGGGCGCGCCCTAGCTCCCTGCGGGCCCTCCACGTGGCGGCCGCCTTTGTGATTGAGGGTCAGGCGGGCACCTGCTGGGCGCAGGACTCTGCTGTGTGCCTGCGAGGGGGGCCAGGCCGGCCGCCGCTCAGCTCCCCTCCCGCCTCCTGCAGGGTCTTCACTGAGCAGCGAGCCGTCCCCCGTGTCCTCGCCGGCCACCAACCACAGCTCCCCGGCCAGCACCCCCAAGCGCGTGCCCATGGGCCCCATCATCGTGCCCCCCGTGGGCCACAGCGTCCCCAGCACGCCCCCCGTTGTGACCATCGCCCCCACCAAGACGGTCAACGGCGTGTGGAGGAGCGAGAGCCGCCCGGTGAGCAGGGTTGGGGCAGGGCCTGATGAGGGGGGCGGGGCCCGGGAAGCGGGGGTGGGGGTGGGGGCGGGGGCCCGCTCCATGTTCCGCTCCCGCCTCCCTCTGCCTCAGCTGTGTCTGCGCCATGCAGTGAGGCTGACCGTACCCCCAGGGTGGGCGGGCGGCCCAGGGGGTCACATGTCCATCTGCCGGGCAGTGTGGACAGCAGTACTGGCCCCTCCTGGGGCCATCAGCCCTGGTCCCTTGTGGGAATGCCCCTGTGGCCCCGGCGGTGGGGGCCCCCAGCTTGCAGGGGGAATTGGAAGTAGGAAGGGTGCCAGGTAAGAGCTGGGTGGGTTTGTGCGTCTGAGGTCCCCAGAGGAGCCCCCGGGCCGGCCACAGGGTCCTGCCTTGCACCTGCTGGGGGCAGCCGTGCCCTGGAGCCAGGATCTCCACCCCCGACCCCCCACCCTGGCACTGGAGGCCTGCAGCCGGGACCTCCCCCAACCCAGGCCCTGCCTCTTTAAGGGCTCTGCTCAGTACCCGGAGGGCGGCCCACGCGGGACTGCCGATTACAGCGCGGAGCCAGGGAGGGACGATGTATGACCCCCTCCCCAGCTGTCTGCCCCTGGAGGGGAGGGGGGTCCCGGCTGTCCAGGGACACAGATCTGCCTGGAGCTGTCACCTCCCCAACACCCTGCACCCCCCACCCACCAGGTGCACTTGGGAGGTGGCGCCCTGGTCTGGGGCAGGACAGAGGAATTGTTGCAGGGCTGGGGGTCGGCCCTGGCCATGGGGGCCCCCCGCAGTTCTGGGGTTCAGCTGCCCCCCCCCCGCCCTGGCCCTGTGCCTGCTCTGGAGCGGCTCCCAGGAGGTCACTTCCTGTTCTGTGCAGCTGCTCCCGCCACGCCCCCCCCCCCCCCCCCCCCCCCCGCAGAGGCCGTGCAGCTGCTGCCCCGGAGGACAGGGTCCCCGGGTCCCCGGCCTCTCGTGAGGGTTGAGGCACTGGTGCCCCCGGGTGGGGGGGACAGGAGCGAGACCCGCCTGCCGTGCTCCCGTGGCTGCAGCCCCAGCTGCTTAGGGGCCCTCCCCGGGCGTCCCAGGAGAGCAGAGAGGGGGCGGAGACTGGAGCCGGCTCGCTCCTCCCCAGAGAACCGCGGGTCCCCTCCCCCTCCTCATCATCATCGCTCAGCTGCAGGCCCTGGCCTTCCTCGCCTGAGGCTGCCACCCGGCCCCCATCCCCGCCCCCTTGCCCTACTCCCAGGTGCCTGTCACTGGCCGGCTGCGCCCCTGCCCGGGCCCCTGGCCTCCCGCCCTCTTGCTCAGCAGCCTGCCGGGACGGTGCCATCTGGTGCAGCCGCCCTGGAGCAGGGCTTTGTCCCCGGCTGGGGAGGAAAGGGGCAGCACAGATGGGCCTGGCGTGCCGGAAGTCCCCCCGCCCCTCTGAGGGTGGGTGGCGGTCGAGCTGCTGGGCCAGCGGCCCGGCTCCTGCCTGCTGGCCCAGGCTGGGTGGGGGCGTCCACCAGCCCTGCCTGGGGGCTGCTGGGCAGACGGGCGTGAGCCTGGTGGGCAGTGCGGCCCCCCGCTAAAGTGTCACTGCTGCTCCCGCCTGTCCCCTGCACCCCGGTGTAGTGGGGCTGCTGCTGCGCTTGGCGCAGGCCCGGGGCAGGCAGCTGGGGGACCCCGGGCCGAGCGCTGGGGTCAGCAGAGGGAGGGGAGCGTCTGGCCTCCAGGCTAGCACAGGGGTGTGCGCCTGCGGGGTCCCCTGGGGAAGAGCAGGCCTGGGAGGACCCTGCTGGGAGCCGGCAGGGAGGGAGCAGATGGCGTTCGCCGTCTCCCTCCGGTCCCAGCCAGCGGCCAGCCGGGAGCGCCGTGTGTCTGGTGGGTCTCCTCAGTGGGGCGCCCTGGCCCCTGGTGCCCACGGGGGGTGTAGGTGACCCCAGGGGCCGGCAGGTGGCTGCCTCTGGCATCCCAGCACCCTTTGCGTGTCCGGTGGCCGTTCCTGCCGGCTCCATGCGCACACAGACAGGGCCGTGGGCGCATGCTCCTGGCATCTTGTGTCTTCCGGGAAGTGTCATGGGTTCTGGGCCCGGCAGCTGCAGGCAGGGCACTCACGGGCTCGGAGGGGCAGGCGTGGCCACAGCCCGTGGGCTCCTGTGGCTCAGGGTCAGCCCAAGGGTGTCCCCTGCCCGGGAGGAGGGGAGCCATGTGCTGCCCCCCGGGGCGGATGGGCTCTGAGCCTCACCGTGAATACCGGGGCCGGGCAGGACTTGGTGCCATCCATCCCCGCACATCGGGGAGGGCCGTGTCCCTGCTGGGGTCAGCCCCTTGGGCCCCAGGGTGGTCCGCAGAACGGGCCTGGCCGTCAGCGACGCCCATGCTGCGTGAGCTGGGCGCTGGGGTCGGGGAGGAGGCCGCGTTCTCGGGTGGACCAAGCCGGGGCCTTCCCCGGAGTGCAGAGGGAGCCCTGGCCCTGCTGGTCCTGACCCCCGACCCCCCACCGTGCCCCTGGCAGGAGTCCGGCTCGAGGGGCAGCAGCAGCGGTCGGGAGCGCCTCGTCGTGGAGCCGCCACTGCCCCAGGAGAAGGCGGGGGGCCCGGCCATCCCCTCGCACCTGCTCAGCGCCCCCTACCCCTTCGGCCTCTCGCCCAGCTCCGTGGTGCAGGACTCCCGGTTCCCACCGCTGAAGTAAGCGCTCGGGTGGGCTGGGGGTGGGGGTGGGGGTGGGGGGGCCACGGGCTCAGGGCCTGGGTCGCAGGCGCGGGCTCCGGCAGCTGCAGCAGGGCCGTGTGCACCAGATGGTCGCTGGCCCTGCAGAGGCTCCAAACGGCCCTGGCCGCGCCTGCCTCCCGGCTCTCACTGGCCAGCTCTGCTTAAGCCCTGGCCCTGGTTCTGGGAGCCACTGGTGAGGCCGGCGAGGGGCGGGCAGTGGGACTCGGGAGGGGGCGTGGCCTGGCTGCCAGGGCGGCACCGGCTCTGCTCACCTGCCCCCTCCCCACAGCCTGCAGCGGCCCGTGCACCACGTGGTGCCCCCCAGCACCGTGACCGAGGACTACCTCCGAAGCTTCCGGCCCTACCACACGGCCGAGGACCTGCGGGTATCCTCCCTGCCGCCCCTCAGTCTGGACCCAGCTGCGGCCGCCGCCTACTACCACCCCGGCTACCTGGCCCCGCACCCCTTCCCGCACCCGGCATTCAGGTGAGGCGGGGCCGCCACCAGCGGCACCAGTCTGCACCTGGGGAGAGCGGGAGGAGCCCCAGGACCTTCCTCAGCTGCAGGGGGCGGTTCGCCACGCACCAGAGGCCCCCGGGAAGCCACAGGCCACGCCCTCGCTCTAGAGAGGCTCTGGGGGGCCCGGCCTGGCCGAGCCGAGGGTCTCAGACCGGGTTGTCCCACGCTGACCTGGCCGAGCCGAGGGTCTGGGGTCCTGAGCGACCGGCGCCCGCGGCCTCTGGCGGTGGCCGTGGCTGGGCAGCCGGCTCTCCCGTTGTCTGCGGCTGTGGTGCTGACGGGTGCTCGTCTCCCGGCGCAGGATGGATGACTCCTACTGCCTGTCGGCCCTGCGGTCGCCCTTCTACCCCATCCCCGCGCCCGGCTCCCTGCCCCCGCTGCATCCGTCGGCCATGCACCTGCACCTGTCGGGGGTGCGGTACCCGCCGGAGCTGTCGCACTCGTCCCTGGCAGCGCTGCACGCCGAGAGGCTGTCGGGCCTCAGCGCAGAGAGGTGAGCCGGGCCCTGGGCCCCCGCCCCGCCCCGCCCCGCCCCAGACCCTCCCGGGCTCGCTGGGCCCACTGGGTGCAGGGGGGCCTCGCTCGTCCCCGGGCCGGGCCCGGCTCGCGCGTTTCTGTTCCGGGAGCTGGGTTTGCACACCGCCCGCTCTGTGCCCAGGCTGCAGCTGGACGAGGAGCTGAGGCGCGAGCGGGAGCGCGAGGCCGAGCGGGAGCGTGAGAAGGAGCTGGAGCGGCAGCGCGAGGCCGAGCGCGAGCGGGAGCTGGAGCGCGAGAAGGAGCGCGAGCGGCAGCGGGAGCAGCGGAACCGCGAGAAGGAGCCGCTGGCCGCCAAGGCGCCCGAGCCCGCCTTCCCGCCGGGGCCGGGGCCCGAGCTGCACGCGCTGCGCGGCCACGCCGCCGAGGAGCGGCCCCGGCCCCCGGAGCAGCTGACCCCGACGCGAGCAGGTACGCAGACCGGGCCCCTTCTGACCCTGGGGGCTGGGTCGTGTGGCCCCGCTGTCCCCGCGGCCCAGGGCAGGGGGCCGACGCCTGGCGTGACTCGGGGTGGGTTTAGCTGTTTTCTCCGTGATCAGCGGTAGCGGGGGGCGTGATGAGATCCGGCCGCGCTTAGCAGACGGCGTTGGGGAATCCGCTCTGCCCGCGGGTGCGCGGGAGCCGGGCGGCCCGGGCTGGCCCCGTGCGCTGACGCCCTGTGACGGCCTCTCCCTGCAGACAAGCTGAAGGAGTCGGGCCTGCAGGCGCCCAAGCCCGTGCAGCACCCCCTGCACCCGGTGCCCGCCCCGCCCCACGCTGTGCCCAGCCTGATCTCCACGCACGGCATCTTCCCGCTGCCGGGCAGCAGCGCCGCCACGGCCCTGCTCATCCAGCGCACCAACGAGGAGGAGAAGTGGCTGGCCCGGCAGCGGCGGCTGCGGCAGGAGAAGGAGGACCGGCAGTCCCAGGTGTCCGAGTTCCGGCAGCAGGTGCTGGAGCAGCACCTGGACCTGGGCCGGCCCGCGGCGCCGATGGAGGCGGAGCATCGGCCCGAGAGCGCCAGGTGGGCCCAAGCAGCTGTGGGGGGGTGCGGCCGCTGCGCTGGGGACCCCCGCCCCAAGCAGAGCGACCTCGCGGCCCTGGGTGGCCTCCCTGTCGGGTTTTCTTGGTCTGGTAGGATTTGTCCACGTGCAGCCCTATTAGGATTCCCCGGAGCCCTGAGCCTACGGCGGGGGCTGAGCCACTGGGCCCTGGTGCCCCTGGGGGCCGTGCCGGCTGTCCTCAGCCTCGGGCCATCCAGGGTCGGTGCCGGGAAGCCGGCCGGGCTCCCGGAGCTGTCCTGCACCCAGGGACGCAGGCAGGCCAGACTGATGCTTGGCGGCGGCCAGCCGCGGGGCCGTGGCTTAGGGCCCCCCACCCCCTGTTGAGTGGGGCAGCTGGGCGATTAGCCCAGCCCCCCAAGGCCTCTCGGGGGCTCTGCCTCATCGGGTAGGGAGCTCTCCCGCCCGCACGGGGCAGCGGGGAGACAGCTGGCTCCCGTCCGTGTTGCCTGATAAGATCTGGGCACGCAGCTCCCGGGACGCCCGCGGGGGTGTCGGGGGGGCCTCTGCGTGTGCGCGGCCGCTTCCAGCCCTTGGCTGGCCGGGAGGGGTCGTTCCAGGCCGGTGGGCTCTGTGTACCGGGCCGACGGGGTCCTGGTGCTCCGAGCTACGCAGCCACTCGGGGCCTGGCTCTGGTGGGGGAGATGTTTGTCCTGCTGATGGGCTTTATGCCTTTGCGGTTTACCGGAGGCCCCAGTTCCTGCTGCTCCGAGGGCGGCGGCCGGTTCGTCTCCCGGCCTAGGCCTAGTGCGTGATGAGGAGCCTTGGCAGCTGCGCTCAGCACCCGGGCCTCCCCGGCCTTGCGCGAGGGCTCCGCCCTGCCTGGTCGCTGGGCAGCGCAGCCCAAGCCCTTCCTCCACGTTTGCCGCTTTTTTAAAATTTTCTGAAAGGCGGGGTGACAGCTTCTGTCCACTAGTTGACTCCCCAAACACCGGCGATGGCCACAGCCGCAGTTGGCCCTGAGTGCCGCGGGCGGGAGCAAGTGCGACCCGCTGCCCTCGGTGCGTTAGCGAGTTAGGGAATCGAGTAGGCGGGACTCGAACCCAGCGCTGCAAGCCGATGCCAGATTCTCAGGCCGCAGCTTTACCCTCTGTGCTCTGGTGGCCACCCCGTTTGTCACTGACTCGTAAGCTTTGGGGAAAACCACCCCGGCAGCCCTCTGCGAGGCCATCCTGTCTCCCGTGCCCTGGAGAAGGTGGCCGCTGCGAGGGGCAGCTCCCGAGCCGAAGTCCTTGTGTGCCCCCCCCACCTCTGCAGGCCCTCAGCGCCCCCTGCGATTCTGGCAGAGGCCACTGGGGGGCAGCAGCGCCACAGCCCCCTCCCATCTGGGTCTCCCCACAGCAGGTTTGGCTCTGGGCTGGGCAGACCCTGGGGGGACAGCAGAGAGACTGGCCTCGCTGAAGGCAGGTGACCGGGCCCCGTGCTCACCACCTCTGGAGTAGGGGGCAGGCGTCAGGGCCCTCCAGCGCGGACTGGGCTTCCCCACGGGAACACAGGTGGGAGACAGGGCTGCCGGGCCAGGCCCAGGCTCTGCACCCTCCTGGCAGCTTTCAGCCGAGCCTCCCCGTCCCGGCAGAGCGGAGCCGCCGTCCCCAGCCGTGTGCCCTGCGGGAGAAGTGGGGGTCTGCGCGCGCACCCGCCTGCCTGCCGTGACTCAGGGTCCGGTTGCTCTCTCCCCAGGCCGGGACCAAACCGCCATGAGCCGGGCAGCCGGGACCCCCCGCAGCACTTTGGTGGGCCGCCGCCTCTGATCTCGCCCAAGCCCCAGCACCACGCCGTGCCCACAGCCCTCTGGAACCCGGTGGCCCTCATCGACAACCCCCTGGAGACGCGGCGGGCCGAAGGCCACCCGCTGCACGGGCACTCGGCCGCGTTCGAGCCCAGCCGCCCGGCCGCCGTGCCGCTGGTGAAGGTGGAGCGGGTCTTCTGCCCGGAAAAGGCCGAGGAGCCCCGGAAGCGCGAGGCGGCGCCCCTGGACAAGTACCAGCCCGCGCCGCGGGAGGCGGGCAGCTTGGAGCCGCAGGCCTTCGCCCACGGGCCCGGGCCCTTCCTGGCCGAGCTGGAGAAGTCCACACAGACCCTCTTGGGCCAGCAGCGGGCCTCCCTGCCGCCGGCAGCCACCTTCGGGGAGCTCAGCGGGCCCTTGAAGCCGGGCTCGCCCTTCCGCCACGCGGCACCCCGGGGCCCTGACCCCGCCTACATCTTCGACGAGTTCCTGCAGCAGCGCCGGCGGCTGGTCAGCAAGCTGGACCTGGAGGAGCGCCGGCGGCGAGAGGCGCAGGAGAAAGGTCTGGACCCCGGCGGCCCGGGACTGCCCGGGGCGGGCACAGGGCGGGGGGGCAAGGTTTCAGGCTGCTGGGCCGCCCTGCCCCGGCCCCGGCCATTTCTGCAGACGCACAAGGTCACCAGGTGACAGCAGCCGCTCGAGTGCCAATGCTGCGGCCATGATGGGGGCGGGCTTGGCCCCACCCTGGGCTGGGCAGGGGTAAAGCGTTCTCTTCCTCTGCCTGCGGGGGGGGGGACCTCGGCCAGGGCGAGCAGGCCCAGGCGTGAGGCCGTCCGTGCGCACGCCGCCCAGTCCCTGCGAGGGGCCCCTCCGGGTTCCTGACCAGCGAGTGCTGCCTCGTGGCAGGCGCCTCTTGATTCGAAAGGCAGCGTTAGAGAGGTGCTCCATCTGCTGGTCCACTCTCCAGCGGGGCACCGGGGCCAGGACACTGGAACCCCAGCCCAGTCTCCACACGGCCATCTCCCTCGGCTTCCCCTGTCAGTAGCGGGGCGAGAACCAGAAGTGGAACAGCCGGGACTCGAACCGGCGCTCCTGGGGGACGCCAGCATCACAGACAGCCCCGGTCCCCGGCAGCTACAGAGCAGGGGCTGGTGGTCCTCCATCCACTGGCTCGTGCCCCAAACAGCCACGCAGCGGGAGCTGGGCCCCACGGACTTGGGCCCTCTTCCGCTGCCTTCCCAAGCCACAGCAGGGAGCAGGATGGGAAGTGGAGCAGCCGGGACTCGAACTGGCGCCCACCTGGTTTAGCCCGCAGCGCCGCCCCCAACACATTTTAAAGCATTGTTTTGAGGAAGAGAGCGCTCCTCCGCATGGGTCGTCCTCAGATGCCCACGATAACTGGGAGCCAGGGACTGAGTTCAGTCTCCCACGAGGGCTGCAGGGACCCCATCTTGGGCGCCATCGCTGTCTCTCAGGGTCCGTGTTAGGAGCGTAGGCGCTGGCGTCGGTGCTGAGCCTAGACCAGCAGCCCTGCCCTGTGGGAGGCGGGAGCGAGCGCCTGGTGCCGCGAGCCGTGTGGTGCCGTGGACGCGGCCCCCGGCCTGTGCTGTGAACGCACCTCCACTGGGTTGAAGGGAGAGGGGAAGGAGGTCATTGTCACCCCCAGGACCACCCAGAGCCTCACGCCTGGCCCGGCCCGACGGCAGGGTGCGCGCGGCGGGGCCCGTAGCCCTGGCCTGCACGCGGGCGCCCTGCCCGGCTGAATGTCGCCGTCTCTGCCGTCAGGGTACTACTACGACCTGGACGACTCCTACGACGAGAGCGACGAGGAGGAGGTGCGGGCCCACCTCCGCTGCGTGGCCGAGCAGCCGCCCCTGAAGCTGGACACGTCCTCCGAGGTAGCGCGGCGCATCGCGTGCCCTGCCGCCCGCCCCCCGCCCCCGCGGCCCCCGGCGCCGCTCAGCCGCCCGCTCTCTGCCCGCAGAAGTTGGAGTTCCTGCAGCTGTTCGGCCTGACCACGCAGCAGCAGAAGGAGCAGCTGGTGGCGCAGAAGCGGCGGAAGCGCCGGCGGATGCTGCGGGAGAGGAGCCCGTCACCGCCGGCGGCGCGGAGCAGGCGGCGGTCGCCGTCGCCGAGGCCGGTGCTGTCCACCCGCTACAGCCCCGACGACATGAACAGCAGCCCGAACCTGGAGGAGAAGAAGCGGTTCCTGACCGCCTTCAACCTCACACACGTCAGCGCCGAGAAGAGGAAAGGTAGCCACGTGCCCGGCGCCGCGAGGGGGGCGGGGCCGCGCGCCGACGGGGGGGGGGGGGCTTGAGGAGCCCCGCGGGGGCTGCTGCCCAGCCATTGGGCTCGGCTCTGCCGCTGCCTGCTGCGACGCCCCCTTGGCTCATGGCCGGGTGCCAGCCATCTCTGCGGGGCGTCTGTCCCGGGCTGGTGCCCCCGTCACCTCCGGTCTCAGGCCTGCCCTCCCGGTCCTGGGTGCCCCGGTCTCTGGGCTGCTCGCTGGGCTCCGTGTGCTGACGGCAGGGTGGCTGAGGGTGGGCTACTCACGGAGCAGATGGCCACCCCAAAGATGCTTCTAGAGCAGCCGGGGCCCCCGGGCTGCACCGGGGCGACCCCCGAGGTTGGAATCCTCATGAGGAAGCGGCGTGGGTGCGGCCCTTCCCCCGGCTCTGGGTCCTGGACACGCCGGCTCGGTGCACGTGCCGGGCACGGGGCTCCGTCTGCCCCCAGTCCCCTGGCCGGCGCCTCTGTGGAAGGAAGTCCGAGGAGTGCCCCGGGACCCTCGGGGTCTCTGGCGTGTTTATGGGGGGCATAGCGAGCGCCCCGTCCTCGGGGCGGGAGCGGAGGTCAGAGTCCGCGGCTTCCCTTTGAGCGTGAGTGGCGGGCCGATGGGCGGCACGGATCCTTGGCCGCCTGCGTAGTCTGGTTTGGAAATGCGTCCTGCGCCTGGCTCGGGTGTCCAGGCGGTCGGCAGGGGGCGCCGTCCGCACGCGGGCTCACCTGCTCTGGCCGCCGTGAGCGCACCCGCGAGTCACCACGAAGAGCACGGGCATCGGCCACCTCCAGAGTCGTCCCCGCGTGTGGCGCCGGAGCCGCTGTAGCTGCGCGGCCTCTTCCGTCGGCGAGGCCTGTCCTCCATGGTGCGCAGGCCTCGCTCGCACCCGCCAGTCGCAGCCGGGCCGGAAGCCCACCTGTCCTCCCCCGGCGTGGCGCCGCCACCTGGCTAACCTCGGCTGCTTTCCTCGCAGACAGAGAGAGACTTATGGAACTGCTGCGCGCCGTGAGGCAGAAGGCCCTGGCGGCGGCCGACTTGCTGAGCAGCTCGCCGAGGGACAGTCCCGCCGTCTCCCTGAGCGGTAAGGGAAGGAGGAGCCCCGCTCGGCACCGCCGGCGACTGTGCCCCCGGCTGCTGGGGGCCAGAGGTGACCGCCGGGCTCATCGTCGTGAACCTGACCCACCGGAGCTGTGCCCCTCGCCCAGCGTGTGGCTCTGCACTCGCGGCGGTCCTTGGGACGGGCCAGGCTCCTGCAGAGCCGGCAGCGGTGGTCGGCGTGGGTGTGGCGCCGATGGTTCAGGGACGGCCCAGCTGCCACCGCGCTCCCCACGAAAGGACAGTGTGCCCGCCGCTTGGCCGTCTCCTCCGCCCGCGCAGCCTCGGCGGCCTCGCCCACACCTGCTTTCACTCTCTTCTCCCGCGTCCGACGCTCCTCGGCTCTGCTGCCGGCCCGGCCCCCGGCTGGGCTCTCCACGCTGTCTCGTCCGCTTGAACTTGCTGACTCTGTGCCTCTGTGGCGACCTGCAGTGACTTCTGCTCTCTTGGTTCCCAGGTGCCCCACTCGGGGCACCGCGTTAGGATGGACGTGGCGCTGCGCTCCGCCGTCGTGGGGCCGAGGCTGTGTCGCGGGTCTTTGCCGAGCGTGCCCTGCCGCCCAGGGTCTGCGAGGTGCCGGGCGCCCGTTCCCTGCTCCTAACGTCTTCCCTCACTTTCTGTCTCCAAGAACCAGCCGCACAGCCAGCCTCCCTGGAGACCGAGAAGCCTGTGGGTGTCGCTGCCTCCCTGCCCGACGTCCCGAGGGCCACGGAGCCTGGGAGACTGGAACAGCTCCGCCCCCCAGAGTCGGCTCCTGCCAGCGGTGAGAAGGCCAGGCTGAGCGAGGCCCCCGGGGGCAAGAAGAGCCTGAGCATGCTCCATTCCATCCGGGGTGCCGCGCCCAAGGACATTCCTGTGCCGTTGTCCCACAGCATCAACGGGAAGAGCAAGCCCTGGGAGCCCTTCGTGGCAGAAGAGTTTGCACACCAGTTCCACGAGTCCGTGCTGCAGTCCACCCAGAAGGCCTTGCAGAAGCATAAAGGTAACCAGGCGCCCGGCCCGGCTGTCCCCCTCCGCCGCGTGCACGGCGCCGGGGCCCCAGGGCACCTCGGGGCCGGGTCGGAGCGGCCCCGTGCGCCCGGTGTCCGGTGCACCAGCACGGGGAGGCCAGGTGCTCCGCCCTGCGTGCGTCTGGTCTCGCAGGCTGGGTTTCCCAGGGTCCTTCAGGGCCCGCGTGGATGGCCCCGCGCCGCCTTGCTCGGTCCCTCAGCAGCCCTGGCTTTCTGTAAGGATTCGGAACGAATCCTCCAAGTCAGGAGTGTGTGACTGCGATTGTCGGGGACGCGCTGCACAGAGCGCACTTTGAGGACGAGGGCTCGCTGGGTAGGGGCGCTCCTCGCCCCCGGGTGGGGCCCGAGGTCGTCGGCAGCTGTGGGAAATCCGGGTCCTTTGCTGTGGCTCTGGGACAGTCTTCCTGTCTCCTTCTGTGTCCACCTTTCGCTGGCCTTACCCCTCGCTGCTTGAGCGATGTCCCCTGGGGACTGAGCCTAGACTTGCTACTGGACCAGTCTGAGCCGTAGCGTCCACTGAGCTAGCCTCCGGCTGTTGACACCAGCAAAGCCGCTCCCCTGCGCAGTGGCCAGCCTGTTCAGACAGGCCCCAGCCACGCTTTGCCAGAAGGCCGGAGCCCCCGTTCCATGCCCTGACCGCAAGGCCTGTGCGCCTCACCATGGAGTGGTCCCTTAGGGCCGTAGGCCAAGCTTCCAAGCCCCAGGGTACTGGGAGCTCAGAGCTGAGCGTGGCCCGGCCCCTGCTGCTGCGTTGCTAGTGGGCCAGGCCGTCGGGGTCGAGCCCTGCTCTCCACACCTGCCCCTGCCCCGGGCACTGACGTGAGCTGTCTCCCCTTGCCCCGAGCGTAGCTGCGCTGTGCACGGAGCAGAACCACAAGGTCGACACTTCCGTCCACTACAACATTCCTGAGCTGCAGCCCCCCGCCCGGGCTGCTCTGCCCCAGCACAACGGGCAGCAGGAGCCGCCCACCGCGAGGAAGGGCCCCCCCGCGCAGGAGACGGACGGGGACTCGGAAGAGGACGACGATGGAGACGAGGACGACGACGAGGACGACGCGGCCCCCAGGCGCAAGTGGCAGGGGATCGAGGCCATCTTTGAAGCTTACCAGGAACACGTAGAAGGTGGAGCCCTGGGGAGGGCTGGTGTGGGGGGAGGACGGAATCTCGCAGGGTCGCTGCCGGCCGGGGGCCAGAGGGGGTCATGGGGCCGGGGCAGACAGACAGGCCTGGAGCGCCCTCGGGCCCTGCTCCCGGCCGTGACCGGTCTCGCTTGATCAACCGGAAGCCTTTGTCACTGAGCGCAGTCCTCGGGTGGCGCCTGCGGCCTAAACACGGCCCAGCCCGTTTGCCGATGTGGCGAGCCCCGAGGGCCAGGCGCGGTCTCCCCTGAGCCTGCCCAGGGTTTAGTGCCCGTCTCCCTTGCAGTAAAAACCCGCCCCTGGCAGGGAGTGCCCATCGCACAGCGCGTCTGCTCAGGGGCAGGTCTGGACGAGAGTTCCGACGGAGGCAGGCGGCCCTTGGCGAGCTGTTAGCCCCGGGCGTTCTTGCTCTGGCACGATCCCGTGTTTCGGCTCAACCTGGAGCCTGGCTCACCTGGAAAAGCTACGGCCCCACGTGACCTTGGTCACGGAACAGCTCCTGCCCGCTTCCTCCGGGGCTGCCCAGCCCGTCCCCTGTGGGCAGTGTGTAGCATCGTCTGCACTTGCTGGTGTCTTGCTTAGAACTCCTCTCCCATCAAGCTGTAAGATTTCCTTCCTGTGCCCGGAATTCGTTTGCACAGAGAAGGGAGAACTTAACCACGCGCGTCCCAACCAGCGAGCCAGCGGTCCTGGCGGCTTGGGGCTGCCCTCCGGCCCCGGCCCCACTGTCGGGCTGCCTGTCCACTCTGGCCTGCGCCTCCTCCCCCGGTCTGCAGCGAGTTGGGGCTCAGCTGTTCTGGCTTCTGCCCTTGAACCTTCGGCTCTGCATCCCAGGCCGCAGCAGTCCCGTGAGATAGCTCCTCGCTTACATACGCTTGTGCCTTAGAAAGGAATCGGGAGAGGCGAGGCCAAAGGGCAGGCTTGGTTCTTAGAATTTCTCCTACGGTGCTGGCATCCAGGCAGCGTCGCGGGGCAGGGGTCAGCCGCGGAATTTCGGCAGCATTCCGTTAGCGCAAAGTCCTCGCCTAATGTGTCAGGTCTGCCTGCCCTAAGTTAATACATGACTAAATTTATTGTGCGTTGTTTCGCTGTCAGGTTTTTTTTTTTTTTAATGCATATCTTCACCTACTTGAGGGAGTGGTCGTCCCCCCAGCTGTTCAGTTCCCAAATGCCCCTCGCGGCCAGGCCACAAGCGGGAGCCTAGACGGCCCTCTGGGTCCCGGTGCGTGGCTGCAAGCGCCCTCCCTCCCGGAGTGTGGGCTCCAACCGGCGCACCCATCTTCCACCCCGAATTCGCCTGAGCCAGCGGGCCTGGCTCCGTTCTCGGGAGTGGGTGCGGAGCCGTCCACCCCACGTTGGGGGACTGACCCAGCAGATGAGAGTGTGCCGATCCGTCCGTGAAGGGCTGAAGTTGCTCTCCTCCGGAGGCAGCCGCTGCGAGGAGAAGCCCTCCGTCTGCTCCCAGCTCCTCCCTGACCTGTCTGCAGTAGCCTTTCCCCTAGGTTGGGTCTAAGCGGCGAGAGGTGGCCATCGGCCAGGCGGGGGTGGAGCCGCCTGCGCCTGGCCCCTGGCCCCTGGCCCCTGGCCCCTGACGCTCACGTCTCTCCGCAGAGCAAGACCTGGAGCGGCAGGTGCTGCAGACACAGTGCCGGCGGCTGGAGGCCCAGCACTACAGCCTCAGCCTCACCGCGGAGCAGCTCTCGCACAGCATGGCGGTGAGTGCCGGGCCGGCGTGCGGGGAACCCTGCGCCCGCCAGCGCAACTCCCGGGTCCCGGCTCCGGCCAGAGCCTGGGTGCCACGAGGGAGGGGCTGGGGCTGGCGTGTTCTCCATCTCCTTGGCACCTGCGAGGGAGGGGGCAGACGCGCCCCTCCTGCACTTCCGCTCTGGGGCGGGCCTGCTCTGACCCGCGGCTCCCCCCCCCCCCCCCCCAGGAGCTGAGGACCCAGAAGCAGAAGATGGCGTCGGAGAGGGAGCGGCTCCAGGCGGAACTGGACCACTTACGGAAGTGCCTTGCCTTGCCCGCGCTGCACTGGCCCAGGGGCTACTTTAAGGGATTCCCTAGGTGACGGTTTCCCTTACGCCAGGCTGAACCTATAGTATAGAAATATTATCTATTTTATTACCTTGAATATTTAATATTTTTCACTGGGAGGTTTGAAGCTTAAAAATAAACAAAGAATGTGCCATGCATGAAGCAGGACTCCAGAGACAGCGCGAACCCCCCTCGGCCGCACCGCAGCTCTGTCACCTCCTGGTCAGCGAGCCCTGGCGCCGCCCCGTCCTACCAACACTACACGGCCCCCTGTGGCCCCCGCGTGTGGTTGGGATCACAGCTCTGGGTCTTGGTTGCTGTGCCGGGGTGGAGGGCTGGGGGCGTGGTAAGTCGAGGGCTTCCGCGTTTGAGTTGCTTTCCTGCAAAAATGGTCTTCAGAACCACCACAAGGCTTTGCTGGGAAAAGCGCTTGCCTAGAGCTAACCCGCACTCAGACTGGAGGTGCCCTTCCTCGGGGTGCACAGGGCTGGGCCGGCCCGCACGTGCCCACCACGCGGGGACTGCGTGGGGGGTGTTCACACAAACGTCAATTTTGAGAGAAAAGTCAAAAGGTGCTTCAGCCTTGTACTGTGTATATATTAAAGTTTTGTATGTTTTTATTACTTTAATTATTGTTATAAAAAGCCTGCCATTTTTAATATGTGGTTTGGGGAAGTTTTGTTTGTTTTTCCTGTTTGGGGGTTTTGTTTGTTGTTTGTTTTTCTGGGCAAAAAATGCTTTTTAGTGTTTGTACTGCTGCTGGTCAGGACATTAAAAGCCTCAAGTGTTTTTAACAAAGAAGGAAAGCGCGAGCTTCCCCCGCGCCTAGGCCGTCCCCGCTCCTGGCGCTCTCGCTGGGAACCACGGGCTCCTCGTCCCCTCCCCCCAGCACCTGGACAAGCTCATAGCAAATACAACCCATCGCTAGCCAGTGAGGGGGGACGCAGGTCCTGCACGTGACATCCACCTGTGCAGCCTGGGTGGTCTCAGGAAGCAGTCTCCGCCGTGCCTAGGGCTCTGAGGTGCCGGAGAGCAGGTGCAGAGTAGAAACTGTAGATGCAAAGCTTTGTGAAACCTGAAGTAGGGTAAGCGACATCTGAGCTGGCCCCTCCCCACATCTGTGACGGGACAGTGACTGTCACCACGTGGCAGGGTTTGGTGCCCGGCTGCTGCTCACGCAGGCAGTGTTAAACGCACGTCAGGAAGGCCCCTCGGGTCTCCGGGACCTACCCTGAGGTCCAGACAGCGAAGGCACGGGGCTGGGGGCGGGCTGGGCGGCGGTCGAGTGGCTGACCCTTGTCCCCGCTGCAGTCGGTGGCTGAGCCTTGTTGTGCGGAGCGGCTGGCTGGCAGCTGGCACGGAGCTGCTTATCTGCCCCCACGCAGCCTGCTCTGTACGTCTGCCAAGAAGCTTCCCGTTACGAGCAAACTCAAAGTGCCGCCAGTATTATCAGCAGTAACAAGGCCTTCCTCTCTGAGGACGGAGGGCTGTGTGGGGCCTGCTCCCCTGCAGACGGTGAGGCGGCTCCCTCTCCCTGCATTTCTCCACTTCAGTCTGCAGGCGTTTCCGGCCTGAAGGCGTAGGAGCCCCATCTGAGCGTCCCGGCCACCTCCTGCGTGCTTTGGCTACCGGCTTTGATGAGGGCCGTGGTTAAACCTAAGGGGACAAAGTAGACCTCAGGACGCAGAGGCAGGCAAGGCCCCTTTCTTACCAAGGAGTGCCCACCCCTTGGTTGGATTTGTTTTGCTGGAGTTGTGGCACCTGGGAGAGGTGTGCCTGGGGAGGAGGCCCCTCGCCTGTCCTGACACTCCTCTGTCCTCACCGTCTTCCCTGGTCTGCCGAGACCGTTAGCTCTCGTGCTCAAGTAGCCGACAGGCAGGACATTCCCGAGGTCAGGCGGCACTATCCCGAGGAAGGCTGGGTGGCCCCAGTCACAGCAGCCGCCGTCCCACTCCTCTCCAGGCCACTCTAAGAGGACACAGCAGCATCTGCTTGCAGTCGGGCTTCAGTGAGCTCCTTGTCCAGAAACGCAGGGTGCAGCCCCTGTCCGTATCCACCCAAGACCCTGGTCCCTCACGTCCAGGAAGAGACGGCTGCCATCCGTCCTTTGACGGGGGCTCGTTAGGCCTAGGAGGGGCCCCTCCCAGGGATGGGTCAGGTTCCACACTTAATCAGGTCTTTAAATCAAGTTGCTTTTGTTTCCCATCGACAGCCAAACCGACACAATCAAGGCGCATGCTCCCAACCCGTAGCTTCAGCTAAGTGCCCAAGATGGGATTCGCCACACTTTAGTCTGCGGCCTCACAGGAGTCACACTCCACTGGCATTCGCCTCCTCACAGGGGAGTGTAGAAGGCAGCCGGTGCCCTCAGCTCAGTCACCCCAAGATTGAATGCTCTCTTCCTCACATACAGCCAAGTCTCAGTGAAGCAGAATTTCAGACCCCGCTCCCTCGGCCCTGAGTGTAGAACGCGCCCAGGCCTGCCACCAGGTGGAGACGGTTAGCGCACGCCAGCTCCGCCCCAGTAGCCTCCCAGCAGCGGCTGCTCACAGTTGCCTGTCCCCACCCCGAGACCAGTGCTCCGCTCCTTGTCTGCCTTGACCTGAGCGCGACCACGCTCACTCGCCGTTTGACTGCGTGCCCCGTGCCAACGACCACCGCGGTGAGCCCACACAGGGCGGGAGGGCGGGCCGCAGTGCCTCGGTCACTGGGGGCAGTTCAGATGCTGTGAATTAAACCTGTTCTAAGTGTACTTGTTTGGATTAATTGTATTGTAATATTATTTGTTGAATGTAGTAATTAGGTATTTATGAATATATTGCTGTAATTTCTGACGACATCCAAAAAAATAAAATCTTCCTGAATCATGCTTAAGAGGGACATCTTTTTTCCTCCCCTACTCCCAAAGCAAACCAGAACACAGCTGCCCAGGGTCAGGCAGTGAGGCGTCCCGAGAAGGGCACTAGAGGTGGGACCCGAGACACAGAGCCTGTGACCCCCCAGTCACGCACAGTCAGGGTCTCCGAGGATGGGCAAGTCCTGTCACCCAAGTCAACCTCAATGTCACCTGCAGCCAAGGAGACCGCCTGCCCCTCCTGGGTGTGCACCTGCATCCGGGCAGCCATGTGGGCTGCAGCAGCGCACCCAAGCTACCTGAGCCCCGGGGGCGGACACCAGTCTCCTCTCCTCAGGCCACCTCAGCCACACGTGCACTCTTGAAGGCGCCGACGCACTGGGTGCAGTCCCAGAACCCTCGCGTGCTAAGGATCTCTCCTTTCCCGTGAGCAAACCACGCCGCAACGCTAGGGTGAAGCGCTTTCTCAGCCGCTGCTGACCACAAGGGCCCTGCCCAGGACTTCCGCCAAGCGTCACTCCACCTGCCTGCCGGCACCGCAGCAGTCCCCGACGGACGGACAGGACACGCGAGTGCTCGCCTTCGTCCAGTCCAC